CCCTCCCTCCCCTCCCTCCCTCCCTCCCTTTTTTAATTCTTAAACTTATTTTTCTTGTGCTAAGAATTGAACATATGGTCTCATACTTGCTAGACAACAGAGACTACTCCTCAGTTTCATACATCTCCAGCAATGTTTGGACTTTTTTTTTCTCTCCTTATTTTGGCATAGAGGAGACAGGTTCTTACCCTGTAGCCCAGGCTATCTTGGAAACGGTTCGTATTTAATTTTTTAAAAACTTAAAAAAAAAATGACAGTAGTAAACACTGAAAAAAAAAATCCTAAGAACATGAAAGTGCTATAGATGTCAAGAAAATAAATTGCTGGGTGGTGGTGGTGCACACCTTTAATCCCAGCACTGGGAGACAGAGGCAGGCAGATCTGAGTTCAAGGCCAGCCTGGTCTACAAGAGCTAGTTCCAGGACAGGCTCCAAAGCTACAGAGAAACCTTGTCTGGACCCCCCCCCCCCAAAAAAAAAAAAACGGGGAAATTAAAAATCTTTTCTTCACGATAGCTTTGACCCTTAAATATACAAGTAAAATCAGGGTGAATGGGCTGGAGAAATTGTGCAGGGGTTAAGAGCACTGACTGCTCTTCCAGAAGACCCAGGTTCAATTCTCAGCTCACAACTATTACTCCAAGATCTGACACTCTTACATAGACATACATGCAGGCAAAACAACAGTGTACATAAAATAAAAATAAATAAAGTAAAAAAAAAAATCAAGATTAACTTCAAAACAAAGGTGTTTGGGGTGTTTTCTAAATTAAGCATGCCCGCCCTTGCTTCTTCTGAATAAATGCTTAACGTAGAGTGGAGAGTGTGATAAGGGCTCAGGGATTCTGCTGACTTTTACAGGAGAAACTAGCAGCCCTTGAAGCAAGTATTGAGCAGCGGCTGAAGTGGGCAGGTGGTGCCAATCCTGCACTGGCACCAGTACTACAAGATTTTGAAGCAACAATAGCTGAAAGAAGAAATCTTGTTCTCAAAGAGAGCCAGAGAGCAAACCAGGTACTGCATCCTTAACCTACTGTGATTGTTTTAAGATGATGGAAGCATTAGAATTTTGTGTTTAGGTGCTTTTTGCTATTTCAGATCTAGGAATACTGATGTGCACTACTTAACAGCCTTTGTAAATAATTGGTGTGTTTTCATAAGAGTCTTATGTTCTCAGAACCAGTTCTCATTCAGATTCTGAAATGCATAGGTAGTGTTGTTTTTCACATCATCAGTCTCCTTCCCCACCCTGTGTGGGTTCTCTCTTCACAGGTCACTTTTCTCTGCAGCAACATCATTCATTTTGAAAGTCTACGAACAAGAACTGCAGAAGCCTTAAGCCTGGATGCCACCTTATTTGAACTAATCAAAAGATGTCAGCAGATGTGTTCATTTGCGTCACAGTTCAACAGTTCAGTCTCTGAGTTAGAGCTTCGTTTGTTACAGAGAGTGGTAAGTCCTTGGGAGTAACTTAACTAGAAGTATTAAAAATAATAAGGCCAGCAACACAAATTAAAGTTGTGATTATTTAAGACTAAGTAATATAACAAATTGTTCCAATTAATGCTTATTCTATTTAGGACACGACTCTTGAACATCCCATTGGCAGTTCTGAGTGGCTTCTGTCAGCACACAAACAGTTGACCCAGGATATGTCCACCCAGAGGGCTGTTCAGACAGAGAAGGAGCAACAGATAGAGACCGTCTGTGAGACCATCCAGAGCTTAGTGGACAGTGTAAAGACTGTGCTCACAGGTCATAACCGGCAGCTTGGGGATGTCAAGCATCTCCTAAAAGCCATGGCTAAGGTAATGCATCTCACTGACATAGTTTCCTGACTCAAGACCTTATAGGTCATATCTTTGTGGAAAGATGTGACACTTTGTAATAAAAAAATAACTTCTCAATTTACATCTTGCAACTTGTTTGTAACTAGGTCAGAATGTGTTTTCAGCAACTCTTTTTTTTCTAAAGCAGACATGATTTTTGTACAAAGAGAATCCGAGGCTTAAATAGATGAAGTTAGTGTCCAATGGAACAGCTATTTTGGTTTTTAGTTTCTTCTTCCCCACTTGTGTCTCCAAACAAATAAAGCTTTTCTCCGAAGTGAATTAACCACTGTCTCTTCTTCCAGTGCCCTACTTAGTATGATTAATAAGAAAATCCATTCCCTAAAAAGACTAACGTACTTCATCATTTTGATATTTCTTTTTATTTGGTACTAGAAATAAAGATCCTGTAAATATAAGAAACTGACATATAATAAGCAGATCAAACACAGTGACATTTAGATCATTATTACCTCTTGATCACAAGGTGACTGTCTTGAGAGGAATTGCTTGAACAAACAAGTCTGTTACTAATGGATTGTGTGTTGCTGGCAGGATGAAGAGGCTGCTCTGGCAGATGCTGAAGATATCCCCTATGAGAGCAGTGTCAGACAGTTCCTGGCTGAATACAAATCATGGCAAGACAACATTCAGACAGTTTTGTTCACGTTAGTCCAGGCCATGGGTCAAGTTCGAAGTCAAGAACATGTCGAAATGCTGCAGGAAATCACTCCAACCTTGAAAGAACTGAAGACACAAAGCCAGAGGTAAGGGTCAACTCTCATGATGTAGAAGCAAAGCCCTTAGTATTTACTGATGTATTTGTAAATAGTTACCTGATAAAAAACATTTCATAAATAAATGTTTCATAAATTTTGTATTTCAGTATCTATAATAATTTAGTGAGTTTTGCATCACCCTTAGTCACCGACGCAGCAAATGAATGTTCAAGTCCAACATCATCTGCTACTTACCAGCCATCCTTTGCTGCAGGTATGAAAGAGGCCAATCTTCATATGTTGACAGTTTATACATACAGGTTTAGGTGCTTAGGGATGGGTGAAGGTCTATTGTGTTTATAGTCACTACCTTTTAAAGGAGTCTTTAACACTGTCATATAACCAGGCTCAATAATTATCATTAAAAGAACTTAAATAGCAGAAATACATGTATTGTAAAATACTCTTTAAGCATGGTGGTGGTTTAAAAGTTTATTTTAGCTGGGTGGTATTGGTGGCACATGCCTAATCCCAGAACTCTGGAGGCAGAGGTAGGATCTCAGAATTCAAGGCCAGCCAGATCTAAACAGAGAAACCTTGTCTGGAAAAAAAGAAAAATTTTATCTTAAGAGCTAGGCCTGGTTGTACATGCTTCTAATGTCTGTATTGGAGAGAGTGAGGCAAAAGATTGTGAGTTTAAGACCAGCCTGACCTAATAGTAAGACTGTCTCAAAACAAACAAACAAAAACAAGACAAAACACTAGTGAGTGCTTACCATTCTTGCAGAAGATGGGAGCAGTTCCTAACTCAAAATTTCCTGTAACTCCAGTTCCAAGAGATCCAGTGCCCACTCTGCTCTCTTTGGTTGTGCGGGCACGTGCACACCCACACAAAATCGAATAAAATCTTTACAAACAAACCAAACTGAAAAGGGAAACAATCAGCAAATGTAATAGAATTTAATATTGTTCTATATTTAAAATAAGAATTTTATATTGTTCTGAATTTAAAATAAATGGATTGATTTTCCTTATAAAGAAAGCTAAGGTCAAGTATGGTGGTGCATGCCTATAATCCCAGTCCTTGGGAGGCCAAGGCAGGAGGCTTGCAAATCTGGGACTTAAATGATCTCAGACTTTCTTCTTTTTATTTACTTACTTACTTCTTCACTTTTTATTTATTTTGATACATCTCTACATTGCTGTGACTGTCCTGGAACTTGGTATGTGGACTAGACTGCCCTTGAACTCTTGGAGATCCCTCTGCTTCCCAAGTGTCTGTAGTTGAAGGTGTCTACTACATGCTTCTGAAGTCAGCTTCAGACTTTTAATTTTAAGATCTAACTTTTTTTTCTTGTTGGTACTTTAGAATAGTAGAATTAGAATAGAAAAATCTGTTTGGAATCTTTCATTTCAAAGCAAGCCATGAAAGCTACTGTGTGCATCTGTAGGGTTTCCCCCCTTTTTTCTTATTTTATTTTATTTATTTGTTGTTTTTGAGACAAGGTTTTTCTGTGGGAGAGAACTGGCTGTCCGGGAACTCATTCTGTATACCAGGCTGGCCTCAAACTCAGAGATTGACCTGCCTCTGCCTCCCGAGTGCTGGGATTATAGGCGTGCACCACCACCACCTGTTTTTTTTTTTCTACATTTTTTAAATAATAATATATTCACAATAGATCATTTTGTGAGTGTGGTTTTCTGTTGGATTTTCCCAGTTAATGTTAAATTGGTAATGGCTTAATGTAAAATTAATGTCCTAAAAGTATATCAAGCTACGCTGACATCTTCATCCATCCATCTATCCTTTTTATGTGCATTGGTTTCTTGGCTGCATGTATGTCTACATGACGGTGTCAGGTCCCCTGGAACTGTAGTTACAAACAGTTGTTAGTTGCCATGTGGGGTTCTGGGAATTGAACCTGGGTTCTCTGGAAGAGCAGTCAGTGCTCTTAACTGCTAAATCATCTCTTCAACCCAATACTTAGGATACTTTTTATTTTTAAAAGATAGTATCTCACTGCTAAGCCTGGTTGACCTAGAACACACACAGAGATTCGCCTGCATCTGCCTCCTGGAAACTGGATTTAAGGTAGCCATCAGCCTTGCTGCTGCTGCTTCTACTCCAGTATATTTTGGCCATGGTCTTTCTCCTACTCCAACTTCCCCCAGATTTATTTATTTATTTATTTCCTCCCTCTCTCCCTCCCTTCCTTTCCAATGTCTTAAATTTTTTTTTCTCTTTTTAAAAAACAAAATTCCAACACTCAGGAGGCAGAGGTAGGCAGATCTCTGAGTTTAAGGCCAGACGGGTGTACAAAGTTCCAGGATGACCAGGGCTACATGAATAAACCCTGTCTTAGAAGCACAAACAAAATACACACAGAAAAAAAAAAACATGAAATAATCTGTTTTATCAGCCTTTTTGTGTCTGGAAAATGCTGTTGACTTGGAGTCATCCACCACCTCTGGCTTTTAAAATCTTTCTGCTTCTACATAGATTGTTGAGTCTTGAAGGGAAATGTGTGTTACAGATATCCCATTTAGGGTTCAATGTTCTAAAGTTTCTCTCTAATGTTAAGTTGTGGGTCTCTGTGTTAATTAACCATCTACTGCAAGAAGAAATTTTGACCATGAGGTTGAGTGATGCACTGACATGGGTCCCAGTTATGCGTAGTGACTATAATGTCTCTGGTAGAGAGCCATTCTGTAGTTGACAGAGTTGCAGAGGGATTGAGATTGGTTGGGAGGAGTGATTTAGGAGGGTGATGAGGAAGCTTTTTTTTCTGCCTTTATGATTTTTAAATTTAATGTATGAATGGTTTGCCTGCATTGTGCACCATATAGGTCCCTTGTGCCCTCAAGAGTTCAGAAGAGAGTGTCAGTCAACTATCCTAGAGCTCAATTTACCAATAGTTTTAAGCCACCATGTGGATGGATGTTGGGAGTTGAATAAGAACAACTATAAGAGCAGCAAGTACTCTAAACTGCTCAACTAACTGTGTTTCCCAGCCCCAATCATTGAGGAACACTTTTTGTGGTGTGTGTGTGTGTGTGTGTGTGTGTGTGTGTGTGTGTGTGTGTGCGCGCGTGCGCGTGCCGGTGTGGTTTTCTTTCTTTTTGTTGGAGGGGAGGGTGTTTTTTTGAGACATGGTTTCTCTGTGTAACAGCCTTTTGCATCTTGGAACTAAATCTTGTAGACCAGACTAGCCTTGAAGTCCTTGAGATCTGCCTGCCTCTGCCTCCCAAGTGCTGGGATTAAAGGTGTTCTCTACCACTGCCTGACTTTTTTTTTTTAATTTTTTTATTTTTTTTGGGTTTTTTTCGAGACAGGGTTTCTCTGTGGTTTTGGAGCCTGTCCTGGAACTAGCTCTTGTAGACCAGACTGGTCTCGAACTCACAGAGATCCGCCTGCCTCTGCCTCCCGAGTGCTGGGATTACAGGCGTGTGCCACCACCGCCCAGCACTGCCCGACTTTTTTTTTAAAAGGTTTTAATTTTTAGTGTTTGTCTGCCTACATTGCCAAGGAAGGTAGGAAGAAGGTATTGGATCCTCTGGAACTAGATAGTTACAGACATTTATGAGATGCCATGTGGGTGCTGGGATTTGAGCCCAGGACCTCTGGAAAATTAGCCAGTGTTTTTAATTGGTGAACTATCTCCAGCCCTGTACCTTTTTTTTTTTTTTGAGACAAGGTCTCTCACTGCACCTTACCTGGGTTCACAGATTGGCTGACCAGTGAGCCCTAGAGATCCACTGTCTCCGCCTTCCTTGCACTGGAATTACAATTGCACTTTGGCTTTTAATGCCCTAGTTGCTAGAAGTATTGACTGCCACTGTTTATCATTGTGTAGTGAAGATCGTTATGTTGTTCAGATTTATCTATTGAGAATCCCACTGCTGAGAAATTGTATTTTTAGGAACATAATTGTTATGTCAAGGGATAAGGACTTTTACCATCATAAACTTTTCAAGGTTGAGTACTGTGGAGTACTTGCTATCGGCCATCTCCTTGTTTGTGTGCTGCTGCCACCCCTGTTTCTGTTTGCATCCAAATTGAGCCACCAATTCTTTCTCTGTAGCTGTCCGGAGTAACACTGGCCAGAAGACTCAGCCTGATGTCATGTCTCAGAATGCTAAAAAACTGATTCAGAAAAATCTGGCTACATCAGCAGATACTCCACCAAGCACCATCCCAGGAACTGGCAAGAGCATTGCTTGTAGTCCCAAAAAGGCTGTCAGAGATCCTAAAACAGGGAAAGGTAATCAGCTAGAATATGGATGCCTTATAATTCTATATTAAATAAAGATTGGCTTGACTAATATGTGTTTTTGCTTTATAGCTGTACAAGAGAGAAACTCCTATGCAGTGAGTGTGTGGAAGAGAGTGAAAGCCAAGCTAGAGGGTCGAGATGTTGATCCAAACAGGAGGATGTCAGTTGCTGAGCAGGTGACTATTTTTTAAGCTTAAACTGTTATAATGCTGCTGGTAGGTTCAAGGATCTCATTTACCCATTTCCTTATTTAATAAAGAAATAAGGCCCTCGGGCTAGCAGAACGGCTCAGTGGGTAAGGGTACTTGCCACAAAAGCTTGATAACCTAACTTCAATCCTTGGTTTCACATGGTGGAATAAAGAAAGCCAATTCACTCAAGATGTCCTCTGACCTCCTTATGTCCTCTGCTGTGCTCATGCACAGTCTCTTCCTCTTCCTCTTGTTTTTCTGTAACAAAAAGAGGAATCAGCCCCTAAACCTACATTCAGGAGTCAGAAGGTTATTAGTAACATTGTTCTCAAGTTGTCAAATGCTCATGACTTGACTCTTTACTACTTAGGACTTTACTTTCAGGCATCGTCTTCCATAGAAATTTAAGGTGTGCCGGACAGTGGTGGTGCACACCTTTAATCTGAGGACCCGGGAGGCAGAGGCAGGCAGATCTCTGAGGTCAAGGCCAGCCTGGTCTACAAGAACTAGATCCAGGACAGGCTCCAAAGCCACAAAGAACCCCCCCCCCCCCAAAAAAAAAAATGAAGAAATTTAAGGTATATGACTGCTCTAATCATCCACCAAACTCAAGTTAATTCTTACTTTAAAGATTCTGAAAGTTTCAGATAGAGGATGACGACAGTTTTTGGAGGTGTAGACTCTTTAATCCCACGAATATGTCACACGAATGTGTGTTCTTGTCCATATTTTTTTCCCTATTATTAGTTGTGTGTGTCTGTATGGCATCCTCCCACTCCTAGGTGCTGGGAATTGAACATAGATCTTTACAGGCACTAGGCAGGTACTTTACCACTGAGCTGTTCAAAGTTACAGGAAAGTGTAGCTAGTCATACTCTTACCTAGACTATTTCTCGCACTCACTTTTGTCATTGTTTTGTTCTACACATAATAACATTTCATGGTATATCCCTGAGAACAAATAATGGTGGGGGATGGGTAGGCTGCTTATGAGCGCTATGCTTCTCTAAGGCTTCTAACTTTACTAAGACACTCAGCCTGTGGATCCTCTGTGGTCATGGAGAACATCACCTTTTTACCATGTTTCAGCCAATCTTTCTTTGGGTGATTGGGTTGACTAGCACTTACTTGGAGACAACTTATACAATTTGAATACAAACTGACCTTGCAAGTTCTCAGTGGTTTTCACTTTTCTCCTACCTATGTTCACAGGTTGACTATGTCATTAAGGAAGCAACTAATCTAGATAACTTGGCTCAGCTGTATGAAGGTTGGACAGCCTGGGTGTGAATGGCAACACAGTAGATGAGTCTGGTTAAGCGAGGTCAGACATCCACCAGAATCAACTCAGCCTCAGGCATCCAAAGCCACATCACAGTCGGTGGTGATGCAACTGGGGGCTTACTCTGAGGAAACCTAGGAAATCTCGGTGTACTAGGAAGTGAATCCTGCAGGACAGCTGCACTCAGGGATACGCCCAACACCATGGCCAGGGTCAAAGGTGAAGAAAGCAAGCTCACTGCCTGCACACGGAGATTGTCTTTCTGCCACAGAACAGCTGCAAACGTGTCAGGAGGTTAGCTGAGAAAGAAATCGGGATGCTGCGGAGCACAGAGTGACTTGGAACTCCATTCCACCTGACCCTGTGTGTACAATCCAGGAAAACAAACCCCGCTCAGAAACAAGAGAAAACGGGGAGCCGCGAAGAACTCACAGCCACGGAAGAGTTGATGCATTCAGATTCTCGAGAAACATTTGTTGCTTGGCAACAGTACTGGTTGGGTTGACCAGTAAGTACCAAAAGGCTATGCTGTTACGAATTTCAGAAATGGACTGAAAAAAAAAAAAAAAAAGGAGAGCAACGTAACAGACACTACATTGGAAGAAACTGACTTCTGAAATGAAGGGAAAAGCACCCATGGATCCCATTCCTCCCCATCAGTTTCCCTGTTCCCCAGCTCCTCATTGACCCGCTCTGGTAGATTAGCCAGCTGTCAGACTCACTTTTATTTCAATCCTTACACTTCATAAACTTTCGTTACCACATTTGGAGACCGAAACAGGAGCTTCTCCAAATCCAATGAAAACATGGAAAATTCAAGGATTGTTTAAAGGTCCGATCATCACATACAAGATGTAACTCTGGTTATTTCAGTCATATCTGTGACTCTTATCATGTACAGTTTCCAGAATTGTCACTGTGCATCCAAATGTAATGAGTCTAACAGACACTGATTTCATGTGCACTCCCCTCTGCTTACAGTATGCATTTTTTGGAGGTCATTCAAATTTTCCCTCTTCTGTGATTGCCGTAGTTTCTTTCATAGAAAGTAGCTGATCTGATGTAATCTTTTACCTTTTAAACAACCAGGATAGAGAACCTATTGGAGTTTGCATTGTTGATGACAGGTTCACAATAAAGTGTTCTGGTGGAGGTAGAGTGAAATGTTTTTTAATTCAGTTTTCTCATTTGATACTTTTAATTTACAAAGTGTAATTTTTTATTTTACATTTAAGATGTAAATTAAAAGTGCTTTAGTTTACCTGGCATTTGGGAGCATGAGAAGTGATGCCCACCAGTATCTTTTAGTTCAGCTGGTGGTCTGTGAGGGTTCTGTTTACTTTTCAGCATCATTTGTTTATAGCTTACTGTGTGAGTCATGATCAAGACATCTTTCAGTTTAGCATGTTCAGTACTCACTGCTGATCCTTGATAGAAGTCGAGACCATAATAGAGCTAAAAACCACATATCAACACAGAACAACACACAGTATTTTGAGTCTGTTTTCCCAGCATTTTAGCAACTAGTGCAGTGGTCACTTAATTTGCCAGCCTCTGTGCACAAGCCTGAAATGGCCTATGGAAACACTCCATGTGGCTCTGGGCTCTTCTCTGCTTGCTACGAGTTTAATCCTCACGAGATGGATGCCAGTGTCAGCACTTTCTTAATTATGAGTATTGGAAGATGCTGTTTTGAATTTCCATGTGTCCAATGACAAGGAACTTAGCACATTGCATTTGATTTTGTTGATTTTGAGCCTTATTTTCACAAAACAGCCTAGCTGGAATATTGATGCCATACTGTATTTTGCATGCTGCTTTCTTCCCTAGAGGCATTGAGAGCAACGGTACTTTAGTAACTTCTGTTCTCTCAAGACTTGTCATTTTCAGTGATGCTTCATGCCGGGAAGAGCTTTTATCATAATGATAAAACCAGTTCATACTCACATACCCTGTAGTTTGTGGTAGTGGTCAGAAATGTCTTCCGCTTTGGTAGTAGGTGAATTTTATTTCTCATGATTTTGGGCATCAGAAGTACCTGGCAACTTAATCCAAGCAAAAATATGACAGCTTAAAAAAACAACCAAAAAAAATGTGCCTCTGATGGATTATCCAACCTATCTATTTTAAACTGATCCTGAGAGAAGAGTAGTTCTTGGTTATAGGACAGATAAGAGCAACCAAGGACTTCAAAGCTTGCTGCTCACTGTGCTCTGGACAGAACCCTCATCTGTATGGTTTGGCTTCCTGTGCAGATAGCCTTGCCAGGTTGAACTTTTGTAAGAAGTCTCAAGTGGAAAAAATAGGGCCATTGGGGGAATGTCTTAAATCATGTAGAGTGCTGTAGTTTTGAAGTCACATGTCTTTTGATGATAAAATACCTGTGGAAAACCAGGGATATTTTCTCTTTTTCCCCAACCTTTTTCTCCTTACTCCTTACACTTCTACTCCCTATTGCCTATCTTCCTTCTCCCCATCCTTTAAGATTCAGGGGGTACAGAACAACCATACAAACAACCTCTTCTAATTCAGAGTACCCTTGAAATGTATTTTGTCTTTAATTAGCTAGTCTGGTTTTAGTTGATTTCGCTACCAAACTGTGGAGGCCTAACTTAGTACTTACGAAACTGTTTCTTCCTTTACCAAAGTGTCTTTTAGTTTCTGTTTCTGGTCATGGAGCTGATCACACAGATGGCTAGATACTTTTTGATGGTGGTGGTGAGGTTTTTTTTTTGTTTTGTTTTTATAAATAGGTATGAGATTTCTGTGTGAAAGTGATAAGTCTTGATCTACTTTCTTAGATCACTGATTCAGCGTTCAAATTCCAAGTTCAGGGTGAGAGTTTGTAATACAAAGAAAAAATTCCCTTCACTTTGCCCTTAACATTTGCCTCTGTTACCTGAGCTTAGTTAATAGTTTTCTTAATATTGTTCAATGTTTGGTGTTATCTGCATTGTTTTTTGTTTAATTGTGGTTGTTCCGATGTGTGAAATTTAAGGAAAGAGCCATTTAATAAAATGCCAAGCAGGGCAATGCAAGTACAGCCAAATATTAAAGTTGATGTTCAGTCTTAGGTCCTTTTTAATCTGGGGTATTATAGGCAGTACTTTAAATCAGAGTCTTCCTGGCCTATTTCCCTCCACCTTTTTGTAGATACTCGGGGGCTTACTTGTGCAGTACTAAAATCAAAGGAGCTGGTTCTTCTTTTCTCCCAATTCTTTTCTTAGTAATGAATACACCTACAACTAGCCTGTGACTCCTATTCATACAGCAGATGTCAGTGCTGTGCTGCTGTTAGCTGGATTACCTGCAGTGCAGGGATGGAACCTTGCACATGCTAGGCAAGCGCTCTTCCTGAGCTACATACATCCTAGCCCTTACAACTAGCATACTGAAGCATTTTTTCACGTGTTCAGATGAGTATTAAAACATTGTTTTATATCTCGTTAAATTTATAAAATGCCAGTAATTTAAAACCCTCCCCCACAAATCAAGGAGGCAAAAAGCACTAGTCACTGAAGTCCTCATCTTCAATAAGCTGGGTAGGATAGGAAGATCTTCTAAGAGGTATTAGTGAGAATCACAGCGCCCTGCTAAGATTCAAGAGAAGGCAGTTCACTGTACTTTGCCTGCTTTTGGGCCTGGATAACATTATTTAAAAAGAACAGATTGAGCTTGGGTTAAAAAGGGCAACCATGTAGAGAACCCTTGAGAAATGGGGGCACTGAGAAATTCTAGTGCTAATGTTAAAAATTCAAAATCAGCTAGGTGTTTGAAGGTAAAGAACTGGATGTTCTGAAACAGATCCCTCCCCAAACAGGCTGATTAACAGTGGTTGTTTTCCCTTTTCCTGATGTTTGATTCAGCTCCTGTTTCAGATTACTGTGTTGCTTATTTTTCTAGTTTTACAAGTCCCTTGGTGGCAGCCACATCACATTTCATGTTTGGTTTTTGTTGTTGTTGTTGTTGTTTTTTATAAATACCCTTAGAGCAAGTTGAGTTGAGCTGAATCTTCCATGTCCTGGTAACATTGTACAAAATAGTCTTTTCTTTCTTTTCTTTTTTCTTTCTTTCTCTTTCTTTCTTTCTTTCTTTCTTTCTTTCTTTCTTTCTTTCTTTCTTTCTTTCTTTCTTTCGTTGTAATGCCTCCTGATGGATATAATTTCGTGCTTGTATTTAAGATTTAAAAGTTGAATAAATCACACCAGCTTCCTGAAAATGTCCATGATGCATCTTTTGGAAAATAAAAAACACATGCCTACTTTGCATTAACATGGTAAAGATTGTATGAAATACCTGTTTTTCAAAAAAATAAAGGTTCAAGTCTTAAAAGATACAGTATTTAAGTTCTGAATTTATTGAAGTGGATCCCCAAAAATTTGTTTTGGTACAGAGTTTTTTCTGTTCTCTCCCAAAATTAAAAATGTTTAATTCTCAAAAATATTTTACTTGCTTTTGAACAGAGAAAATTTTATTTCATTAGTAAAGTTTTAGATAATCCGTGCGGGGGGGGGGAGGGGCGCATGGCTTTAATTCCAGCAATCTGGAGGCAGAGGCCGTGGATCTCTGAGTTCGAGGCCAGCCTGGTCTACAGAGTGAATTCCTGGACAGTTAGGGCTACACAGAGAAGAAACCATGTCTCGGAGGGGGAAAAAAATAATGCCTTTAATCTAGGGGAGGCGAAGGTAGTGGATCCCTTGAGTTTGAGGCTAGCCCGGTCTTACAGAGCAAGTTCCAGAATAGCTGGGGCTACAAAGATAAACTGTGTCTTGAAAGACAAAAGGCAATGTATGTAGCTTAATTTTGGCAACCATTATTGGGAGTGAAAGCTCTGAAGGAATAGAGTATATGGCAAGTTCTCTTGTGCCAGAGTTCTGAGGAAGATTTGTGGTAAGGGCTTCATTATCTGGTACAGAAATCTCGTGTGCAAAAAAGCGTAGGTGTTTTTAATCACTGGGCCATTTGGATCAGGGCTGGGAACAGCACACAACGCGCTCTAGAGAAACTGCTGTTGGACTTCAGCTACCTCAGCCTCAGCAGCTGGCCTTACAGCTTTTGGAAACAACGACCAAACTCCGGAGCTTTCTGAAGCAACAGCCAAGTTCCCAGGGTAGAAATGGTGGATTTTAAAGCCCATTTGTACTCCGGCTTAGCCTGTGGAGCAGCTGTTTCGGGTAATTCTCTAGGCTCCAAGTTTTCTCCAATTAAGGTTTCTGTATCGATCTAGTCATATCACCCGCCCCCTCACCCCCAATTCCTCGAAGCAGCACTTCACCCGAGCTTCTTAGCCATAACTATGTTGTGCTAGTTAGTACCTTATCCAAGTACTTTCCACAAGGTCTGTGACAAATTTTATGCCCCTTTTATAGAACCATCATGCTCCAGGTAGGGCCGGGCTTATTTCAAGTTCTTTACAAAACCTCCCAGGAACTGAAGAACCTGGTAATTAAAGAACGAAATGTTTTTTTTAAAAAAAATAACCTAGATGTAAAATATTTGAGGTCAGTATCTTACATAGCTTCCTCCCACACACAGCCCGTATCAATGTGAAGCGCTCCATCTGAATTACTCATCCACCTATACATCCCTCCATCTTACGCGCTCGCCTAGCTACCTGAAGTGCGCCATAACTATTATTTCCCCAAAAAACTGACTGCAAAAGGTCTTTAAGAGTTTGTGCATCTTCCGTGTTCTCATAGGGCCTGCTACTGCTGGCGAGATGGCAGCAGCAGTTCTCACATGGGGGCCGCCAGCCTTCCAGTCATAAATCTTAGCAGGTACCACAGGAACCTAAAGAGTCCTCCGCCCTTGCAGCCTCCGACGCAGGGCACGGCGCAGCCTCCACTCCCTCCGTCAAGCAGTGGGAGCCTCAGCGGCCTGGATCTAGCTGGGCGAGCGCCTAGAGACGGCGGTTGAACCGCTTCCTTCCGTTCCGCCCCCAGCGGGCCACACTCCTAAACTCTGATTGGTCGGAGTCTTTATCGGCTCCGCGCAGCTTCCCTCTCCTTTGACCTGGATTTCAAGTCATGCGCTGGCTGCCGGTTGGCCTGGCCGCCCAGAAGCCGGAGTGCCTTCTGCCCAATGAGGAGCGAGTTTCGCGAGGGCTGTCGGGGAAAGGCGGCCGGCCTATATAAGCAGGCTGCGGGGCGTTCCCTCGCGCTTCGGTCGCCTTGCGGGTGTCGGCGCAGAGTGTCTTCTGCTCGTTGAGACCGCGCGTCCAGAACGATGGCGGAAGGGGATAACCGCAGCAGCAACATGCTGGTGAGTCGCGGTCGTTGGCTTGTCCCCGGCGCTTCCTGTTAGGCCTCTTGGTCTCGGTGCCTCCAGGGGACTGCCAGGCCTGATCCTGCGGCTCCCTGCCCATCTCTACTGTGGCGGTCTCTACTGCCCATCCCCAACGTCCTTCCTGGACCGTGCACGATGAGGCAAGGACCGCAAGTGAGGAAGTGTGAGGATGGGGCCGTGGCAAGAAGGAACCTGGGTGGCAGATTAGGGCACTCGGCCGCCAGGGGCCTTGTCTAACGCTCGGGGCTCAGGCCGGAGACGTACCTGTTCCGCCCTCTTGGGTTTTAATCTCATGTTCGGTAGATTGTTTGTATGAGGGCTTCTTTTCCTCCCAAAACTTAAGCGAGGGTGGAGGGTCAAAGGGCTGCTACAGAGGTAGTTATCGCTGACGCAGAATTTGTTGTAGCTCGCTGCGAGTTCACCGCAGGAAGCCGAAAGTGGGTTCAGCGGAGAGGACAGTGGGAGGTCCTGGCACTTATCTGGGAACTGGCTAGGGGGCTCACTTTAGAATGATTAGCACGGATCTGAAGGAACTGTACGAGGTGGTATTAGAAGAGAGCACATTTTCTTCATTACAGATTTTTGAGGTTTTTTTTTTTTTTTTTTTTTTTTTTTTTTTTTTTTTTTTTTGACCAAGGTTTCATGTAGCCAATCTGGCCCTGACCTATGTATTGAGGTTTGCCTTGCATTTGTTATTCCCGTTTCCCCTCTCAAGTGCTGGGACCACAGCTGTGCATCACCAGGTCCTGCTAGTTTTACAAATATAACTGCATCATCTAGGCAAGAATGAGAGATCCTTTTGTTTTCTCTGTTGTCATTCGCCAGGGAAAGACGGAACATATCAGAAATGAAAAGAGCAACTACCAGCTTGTAGCTTCTGCGTTTGCACGTCTAAGAGCCTAAATGCCAGCAAGCTAAAAGTGTCTACAGGACAGTAGAGGATCGGGCGGGATTTTCACTTTGCATTGCTGTTTAGAGACGCTTTTTCATGTCCCCTTAAATTTCCCCTACGCACACACCCACCCTCCCACCCCACACACCAACAAACAATCCAATAGAGATACTTGCCCTGTACTCTTAAATTCCCCCTACATAACACACACACACCAGCAAACAATCCGGTAAGAGGATTAATTGATACTAAAGGAAATTGCCACGGGAGAGGACCTGTTTCCATAAAAACAATATCACTTTAAGGAGAGCAAGGCCATTAATCTTATATTTCCTGGATTTAGATATATTATCTTTACCTTTTTGTCTCAGTTTTCTCATCCTAAATAGAGGTTGTAAAAATATCTTTTCCAGTTTTGAGGCGCATGAATTGAAGTATAGCATGTGAAATGTTTAGAATTTCTAGTTTGGGTTGATATCAGTATTAAGCATGTAATATAGTCAGAAGTACTTATGACACAGATTTTATATTAATTAAAAGTAGTCCAAGTCCATATTGTGCTCTGTCATTTTCATATTCCTTTGTGAAAAGCTTATATTGTCACTTGGGTTCCGTGTGTTCCTGGGGGTTGAATCCAGGGCCCTACACAGAATGAGCAACTTCTTGTTCTAATTTCCTTCTTTATAGGGTTTAGGTCACAATAGCTCACCTTAAAGGTGTGGTTTTGACCAGCTGTCAAATATGCAGAGAAATTTGAAACCTAGCCATGATTCCACCATCAGCGATGAGGAACCATTGTGGAGGACTTTAAGTGCCTCACATAACTGAGTGGAGGAGTTTTCTCTAATTCCACAGTGACTGCCATGCCAGCATTGGAGTAATTCCAGCATACAAAGAGCTATTTTAGAAATTGTCCGGACTGACTGTTTTCTTGATGGATTTAGAAAGGCCTACATCAATAAAATGACCAATCAACAGACAGTGCCAGCCACCTGAAATGAGCGAACGCTAGAGGATCCAATTTAGTAGTGTTCTGAGCACTGCCGCATGACACTGTGGGTGAATTGGGGATATTAGTTAACCATAGTAAGCTCACTTTCATTAATATTGAAATGTTTATCCCCACATTGTGAAGCCTTGGGAATATTATGTTATTTCATGGACACAGCCCAGTGCTAAAGTGACCATTAAAGGTTGGACTTCTCCCACCCACAGATTTTTTTTTTTTCTTTCCTTTTTTGGTTTTTCAAGACAGGGTTTCTCTGTGTAGTCTTGGAGCTGTCCTGGAACTTGCTCTGTAGACCAGGCTGGCCTCGAACTCACAAGAGATCTGCCTACTGAGATTAAAGGTGTGTGCCACTGCCATCTGACGATTTTCTGTTTGTTGCCAAAATTGCAGTTTTTTATGACTTGGCTTGTTTAAGATAGCGGGCTGATGCCTTGGAAGGCTTTTATTCTTTTAGCAACCTAAGTGTTGAGATTGGTAAAGTAACACTCTGCACTGTTGACCGCATGTAGGCTGTGGAGACTGCAGGTCTGGAAGAGCAGCTGCAAGGATGGGGAGAAGTGATGCTGCTGGCCGACAGAGTCCTTCGCTGGGAAAGAGCCTGGTTTCCACCTGCCATCGCGGGCGTGGTTTCCCTGCTGTTCCTGTAAGTGAGGGCTGCTATTGCTAAGTGCTCAGATGGCTCCTAGCCTATGCTTAGAGACGCTTTTGTAATACATAATCCAAAAGAAACACCTTTTTTGCAAGCAGTTTACCCAGTTTCTAGAATTTGTAGTCCTTTTGTAAAGTTGTAATCTAATACAGTTGAGCAGATCCTGTGCATTCAAACTTCTTTTTTCAACACCCTTCCTTTGTATTCTTTCCTAATAAGTATTGACTGTTGCTGGTGACATTAACTGCTATAACTGTGACAACATGCATGCCTCCTGAAATCCACTTGTGAGGAAATTAGAAAGGAAACAGCCCCGTCTTTGAGAGGCTGTGGGCTAGGGAGTAAACACCTTTGGTTAGGAACAATGACTACTGGTTTTCTAGCTGGTTAATTTTCTTTGTTTTTAACAGGATTATCTATTATCTCGATCCATCAGTGCTGTCCGGTGTTTCCTGCTTTGTTATGTTTTTGTGCCTGGCTGACTACCTTGTTCCCATTCTA